CACGCACGCACGCACGCACGCACACACACGCGCACATACACACACACACACACACACACACACACACACACAAAATGCGCGCGCGCATATACAGGATACTCCATTTATCATCCATATATGTATTGTTTATCTATATATGTATGTATACACATATATTGTTTGTATATATTAATTAATTATATGCGGCGTAACTTCTTTGCAACATTTGATCATATGTATAAATAATACGTTTCTCAAGAATTAAATTCTGATTACAGAACAATATATCATAAAATGTATCAATCGATACATTTATTTGGAATCAATGTTAAACTGTTATGCCGTATCATATCTGATAAAATGTACACAAATATAACGTTATTAGAATAAAAAATATATAACAAATAATGTATACATTCCCTTTCTCATATATATTTACAACGTATTCTTTTAAATTATATTTTATTCTACTTACCTGCTATATTTTTTTATTTTTCATAAACATCAATATGATTTTGGTATTAATTCGAGTGAAATGACAAAGAGTGAAATGACACATACACAGCAAAAACTTTTGCTGTAGATAATAGCAAAAAGATTTTAAAAGGTAAGTGCGAATTTTATATATTATTTTAAATCAATTAAAAATAAAAAGTATTAATAATGTAATAGATAAAACGAAATATGTAACAAATAATAAAAAATAATATGTATTTTTTTCCCCTTGACATTACTATGAATATTGTTAAATTGCTCAAACGTAACTTCCTTAAAATTACGAAGAATGAAAAAAGAATCTTTATTATAAAATTGATATTAAATTATTTATATATCTTCAAAAAGATCATTAATCTCATATAAAAATAGTACGCTTATTTATGGACCATTGTAATGATCAATAAAAAATCATGAGTTTAATAATATATTATCCAATTATTTATGTTAATAATCGCAAAATTATATTAATTTGATGAGTTGATAATATTAGTGTTCTTCAACTACACCCTTTTTGGAAGGACAAAAATTTATCTAGGTTTGACGATCTTTAATAGTATTTCGTCGGTGTTAGAAGATAAAATCCTAAAGAGGCCAGCCTGATGTGTGCTACTTGGGAAGATGTTTTTCACCTTGCAAACTAAACTTTGAAACAAATGAAAAAGAAGCACATCAGCGTAGCTATTTCAATTCACTCTGTATATAATTATACATATAAATTTCCAGAAAGGAATAAGTCGACAATTATATATATTAATAGTATGAATAACGCGGGTATATAATTTAGTAAATGAAAATCAATTAAAATAGATTGTAAAAAGATTCATTTCAACATTTACGAATGCGTACTTGTGAAAATCAGAATTTTTTCTTTATTCATTTAGAGGAATTGCATCAAGCAAATTTTCTATGTCTTTTATTACAAAAATAAATTGAATTTTTAAAAGTGGATACTCAATTCAAAATTCTGGAAGAAAAATTCTCTAAGAAATGCAATTTTTTTAAATCCAATTGAATCTAAAAAGTTTTTCCATTTAAAAGAATTCTATATCCGCATTCGGATGGATTAAAAATTCCAATCCATTTTAATCTATTCTCGTTTACTAGAAATGAATCATTACTATGATTTGTCTTCCATAATTGGGGTGATTAATCTTAGAGAAGTTATATTGAAGATATTGATTCTCATAAAATGTTTCCTTATGCATACGCCTTTGTTATAAATTAAGAAAAAAAGAAATCGAGAAAGATATTTGATCAATCGATATATGATCAAGTATATTATACATTTTTCCATTGTATTACTAACTACGTTTTATCTTTACAAACTTTGATTACAATCTCCTACATAACACCGGATATGTCTTGAGCAGATAACGCGAATAACGAAGCTAAGTCTATATTTTGTAACTCATTATGCAGTTATTATGCGTTCATAATAACAGCTGTACAGCTTTCTTGTATTTTTTTACTATATAAAAATCTGCGCAAATGTATTATGAGCACATAAGGATTGCATAACGAGTTTTGCATAACAAAGTATAGGGGTTGGAAGGGTAAAAGAGGGGACGTTGTGTGAGAAAGTTATTTTTCTCTTTCGTTAAATCTGGACGTATCATAAATATCTTAAATCACATTCACATTCACTAGATGAGTGCTACGTAATAACGTATTGTGTTTATAGATATTCATATGCATCACAAATGATCTGTAAATGACAACATTTAATTTTTATGCATAAGTAGATTATATGTATTTTTATAAAATTAAAGGAGAATATTTGTGAATTAATTTCACGTTTTCATTTCGTTTTTGTGTATTTTATATATGTACAAAAAATTTGCACATATCTAAAAAACATATAAGATTATTTTTATTTTTATTTCATGGATGAAATCATACATTGTAACTTATTGAAGTTAACGATAAATTAAAGAGTAAATTCTTGGATCTAAAAGTATATCCATGAAATAAAAGTTAAAGCAATCTTTCATATATCAAATACTATTTATCAATTTATTGCTTGGTATTGTCCATTTCTTTATTATGGGTAAGTATAATATAACATCGTTAAACATGACTCTATTTTTTTCTAAAAATGCATCTAGAGAATGCATCCAGTGAATGTAAAATAATTATGACGTCTAGTGTACCATATAAATATACGTATTTTATATTTACGTATCAACTATTGACACATGGAGATGCATATAACAATTTGACAGAATATACTCGTGCGATAACTTTATCAGCAAAAATTTCCTAACTGTCAACCATCAATAGTCTAACAGTATGTTATACATTGAAACAGTAACAACGAAATAAAAACAATGTATAGAATGAGAACAATATTTCTTATTAAAAAAATTAATTTCACTCTTGTAGATCTTTAAAAATATTTACAAAAGCGATTTGCTAATGTGAAATAAACATGTAATATCTTCAATAGAAAGAAAAAAATTTCATGTATCTATCGCAAATTGTTCAAGATGCGCAATTTTTTACAATTTATCTCAATTTCTTTGTGCGTGTGTTTAATCTGGCGATATCTCAGAACAATTTCAGATAAACTAAATATACTATACAATTTATACATAAAAATAAATACTGATAAAAACAATATTTTAATGAGAGTCTCTATTAAATAAAATGCAAATTCAATTTTTATTTGCAACAAACGTTAGTATAATATGCAATTTGCAATAGCGAGAGTACTTTAAATTTGTGTACCAATTATTTGTAACATATCCAACGAATTATGATATTTTTATTAGTACTTATTGCTAATTTTATTTTTTTTTGTTATTATGCTAAACCTGATTTGCTACATTTATATTTTTTGGTTCGTGTTATGTATGGTTCCAAAACATTTTTTGCTCAATTTACACACACACGCACACACACACACACGCGCGCGCGCGCACAAATATGCTCACACAGTTATTTTATATATTTTCATATTTGTATTGTTAGTACTTATTTCTATCAAAACATATCTTTTTCATAGAACTTTTTGATCGCGCCAAACATTTAGAAATGCTTTTTCTACATCTCGTGCTTTGAGATACACACACACACACACACACATTCTCTCTCTCTCTCTCTCTCTCTCTCTCTCTCACTCTCTCTCCTATATATTTATGTGAAAGCACCAGATTTAACACAGCACACAAATATATGCGTCCTAATGTTGCAAGATCGCGTTGCTCGCCGAGGTAACATTAGCTAAGATCTTTGGTAAGGCCGTCGTTGACGCATCCGACAATCCTCTGTCGCTCACGGTGCTATTCGACAATAATGTTGACATTAGAATTGTGGTTAATACATCGGTAGTCTTCGGCTTTGATATTGCTGTTGTTTTTTCAACGATAGGAAAAGTGGAAGATACTGCGGTCGTTAGAATACTCGCCGTTACATTAGAAAATACAGTTGTCGAAGTTTGAACTTTTGCCGTTTTCAAACATACGTCTTTGATTTGTACAGGTGGTCCAAGACATGCATCCATCATGTATGCCAATAGAGATCCAATAGTCAAACCAGTAGTGTATGATAAGGTCATAATATTACCTAAGGAAGTAAGATATTGATGTTAGATCTCGTATTAATCTTTATACATCTGCTGTCCCGTCAAAAAAATTTTTTTGACAGTAGACTATCTTAAATCTTTTTGAATAAAATTTCTAAATAATATCTCCAATCTCTACATAAATTTAAAATAAAATTCTTAATATTAGAATATCGCATCTATTTTAGAAATATAAATAATTGAAAGTTTAAAGATATTTATCTGAGTTTTTAATTTATTGTCCCAATAATAAAATATACCGTTTTTTCTCTTTCCTTCTTTATCAATATTTCACTTAATATTTTAAAGAAGATTTAAATTTATGATATACCTGCAAGTTCTCGATGTTCTTCCGGTACTTTACTAGGTGCCTGAATCATAGGTATGGAACCAACTATACCATTTGTAAGACCAAGTAACCAAGAGAATAGGAGCGGATATCCCTCACCAGAGAGAATAGGAGCACCACGCGGAATTGCGCAAAGAAAAAATAGAGGAATAAGTATGATCCGTGCGCTAGAGAAATAAAGCAGCTGAGTTCGTTTCCACTCATAAGGTATCAGAGCAAATACCTACAAGAAATTTAATTATCTTTATTATAATTCTATAAGAAATGTTTTTATCTTGCTATTTTATATTCATTCCATCTTCATTTTTAAAAGAGACATCAAATACTATTCTAATATTTTTTATTTCTTATAATTTTATCTATTTGAATTTTAATGATAATATATATTATACATATTATATATATTAAACATAAAAAAAAGAACAGTTTCAATAAGATTGAAACAAACAATTTATATATAATTTATATAATAATTGGCGATACCTTGCCGAGTAAATCAGAGGCATTAAAAGCAGTCATCAAAATAACTGGCATCCATGACTCGAATTTACAAGAGATTATTTCTGATACGATTCCTGGATAAAGGCAGAGCGTTATAAAGTAAGCAGCACCAATGCTGACCATATACGGAAAGATGAGTTTGGCAACTTCGAGTCTCGCAAGCAAACCTCCTAAAGAATATTGTTTTAAATGAATCATGAAGCTGATATTTTACATTTCAAATTGCGATTAAATCTTTTCAATCGCTTTGTGATTGATATTTGGTATGTATGTGAATTATATATAATCGTATAAAAAGTAATGTTATTTTAATACCATCTTAAGTAATATCTTAAAATAGTAATACAGTTCTCTCTGTAATTGACTTATGACATCTTATAAATCGGTACTTAAAATAGTCTTAAATATATAAGAATCGACTATGAATATCGATCTCATATAATAAAAATCTAGAAGTTTACGTAAAAAAGAATCAATTTCAATTTTCTCATTTCAACTGTTTTAACGATAAGTGAAAACAGCATTATTACTTTTTATGCCAGACCATGGCGTACTCGTGCTTTGTGTTCCGTAAGCTCCTCTCATAACTACGACATCTTCAACCTTGTAAGTTGGTCCAGCACTACCAGGTGGATTACCCGAAGGAGCACTAGGTTCATACACCGGATTGCTGAACGAAAATGCAGAATATTGTCCAGCTGCTGTAACAATCAAAATGTTTCTACAGTATCGCAATATCGCAGTATTTCAATTCTTCTTTTCAAAGCAATCTTTCTAAAACAATAATCTTTCAAAGAAATTCGGTATTCGTTTCTATCATTTCTATACTTGAGAATTAATTTCTTGATTACCATTCAAATCAGCACTTCCACTTGCAGATTCTGTTCCCAATGGACTCGTTTGAATCTTCAATACTCCATACTGACCTTTTGAGGGATCGCCGACTTGATCTAACGGATCCATCTATTTAACAATAACAAAAACTGCAATATTAATCATTAACTCATTGTTATTGCATCAATAATCAATTTCAAATAATTTAAGTAATTTCGAAAAAAATTATATTGCTTTCTCAAAATATTTATTCATATATATCATAATTTTCCAATTATCATTCCTCAATTTTCGAATGGAAATTTAAATAAGGAATACAACATGATTACGTACCAGACCGACATCCTCCGTTGGTTCTAACGTAATTCGATTTCTTTCCTGACATAGCGTTATGTAAAATTGCACAAAATCGGTTTTTCGTACTACTTGATGTAGCACAAAACATAACAAGATCGTCATATTCGATAAAATAAAAAACATGGATGTATTGCCACGTTCATCATTGAGTAGAGACTTTGTTATTATTCGATTGATTGACACCCAAAAACCAGCAAAACCTGAAAGTGTGTAGTAAGATATTTCTTTTTTCTTGTATTATATAGTAATAATTAGAAAAGATATACGATTACTCGTTACTCATAATATCGAACACCGACAAGGCGATCTCATTTTTACAATTTCTAACAAATTTCAATTCCTAACATTATTTAGAGTGCGGTCCACAAAGCTTTTTGATTGACCAATCGGAAGAAAGAAATTTACTAATTGACCAATCAAAAAATGTTTCGAATTTGTAACATCAAGTGGACCGTAGTCTTAAACGATTAAGTCATGAATTAAAATTCTGTTGAAATAATTTACTAAAGACAAATGCTGACCACTCATAAGATCAGTACTCACTTTCTCCAGTCATCACAGCTTGCGTATATCGACTAGGAAGCATTGATGTATACCCATAAAAACTTGATTGCTGAACTATAATGTCATACAGAAAATAAGATCAAATTTTTGTACTATATTAACAATATATAATTAATTATTAAATAGATATTTTGGAAAAATATTACGAGAAAATATTACAATATTCAGATTAATGAAATATATAATCTGTAAATATAATAGTAAGATTGGAAATAAGATCGTTTTATGTGAGTACATTACCTATAAATACGAAAAGCGTTATTTTTTTTTAATAATTCCTCAAATGTAATTAGAATCATCTTAAAAGAATTTATTACGAAAAATATTACTTCGGTCGGGAATTGAATCCGGATCTGTATTCCATGCGAGCGTCCTATCGTTAGACTATCAAGGCCTTAGCAATATTACTAAAAATATTTTGCTAACAATATTTTTCGCAATATTCTTTATAAGTTTTAAGATGTTTTTAATTTGAGAGGACTTCAATATTTCAGATTGATTGTGTTAAAAGTCCAAAAGAAACGGCGCATAATCATATTTCTAAGATAAATTTATTTAAAGGAATACATATATAGATATACATATATAGATATATTATGTATTAGTTTAACATTTAATTTTGATCGAAAGTGGCGTTTCTCGTATTTAGGTGTTGTAATTTGTAAATTTGTAACATACAAATACTTATAATCTGCAGAAAGCCACAATAATAAAAAGATCTAATGCAATTATAGATGCGTACAGTTACAATAATTATCATAAACATAAAAAATGTCAAACGTTTCAGAAACATTTTATTTAAGTTATTAAAAAGCAAGATAATCTGTGTTGAATTATTAATATTTCTTTTATTATTAATTAGTATTTCTTGGAATATGTGTTAAATAATTTTTAACATTAAATAAATTATACACATTAAATAAATTATATTATTAATTAATCGGAGAATAGATAAATGAATATTCTTGTAACATTTTTCCATTATTTAATATACTAATTGAATTGTGATCATTTTATTTAACTCTACCTGTACAACCGAGCGACACTATAGCGACGGCAACTAAATTAATCGTATAGGAAGTTGCAACGCCGAAAAGTTCCCACCAAATTTCACAGATCACCACAAAGTTCAGAGTAACGAAGGACACTAAATATCCTGAGCATTAAAGATTAAATTATATAATTATCGTATATTATTTTTTTGTTTTGTTTAAGAAGGAATTTCACTTCAGGCTCTAATGAGTATCAAGGAATGTATGATGCCTATTTGAGTCTAGATATAGACATGCGAATTTCATTTATTAGAACAAAAAACTAAATTCATATACGTTTCGATCCTTTGTTTGGATTCTTTTGAGTATAATAAGTTAAATTACGTTCACTTCAATTGTTTCTTTTTTAAACTCGATTAACTTAATGGCAATCTTACCAAATGTAATTCGTGTATTCAGCGATAAGGTCTCAACTAGAATATTGTTGGCAAAAACTGCGAAGAAAGCCATAATGATGTAAACAACAGACATGTCGAAAATCACAGTAGTTCCCGGATATCTAGCTTGAAAATAATCCACCGCTATAATGAAGCTGTAACAAACAATGGCACAATTGTTGATATATAAATCGCAAAATTTTTAACCAAGTTAAATGCAACGCGTAAAATTTTTGCCAATTTTTACAAAGTTGATTTATTTGTCAAAGATTACGAATTAAATATATTTTTCTCTGAAATATCGGAGAGAGTTGTTCGTCATTTACAAGACTGAATCTCTTTGAGAGTCAGAGTTGTCGTGGGAAAAAAAGTCAATTAATTATAATAATACGGCTTTAAAGATTATTTGTTTCAACTCTCTCTCTCTCTCTCTCTCTCTCTCTCTCTCTCTCTCTCTCTCTCTATATATATATATAT